GGTTGCGGCGGTACCGGCCGGGAGGCCGGTTTGTATTGTCTAATGACAAAAAAACTGTGAATGTTGTATATAAAGACATTCTGTAGTATATTTAGTATGTTCAGGGGGTATCTTTTGAAGATTTCCCCTTTTCGATAATAATCTAAACAAAACAAAAATATATTTAGTATCAGCATTGCACCCGTGCGAAGCTGGGGCGGGTCACTAGTTAATTATAAAACACAACTATAATTGGTAAAAAATTTTAACACTCTAAGGTCTAATCCATTTATTGCGGAAGTTATAATTTGGGTTAGATTACGATTTGTTTTCTATAAATTAAATTATCTCAGAAACTATTCATCGTAGGCATACAAGTTGATTAACGAAGTTACCTTAGAATTTTATGTCTTTTACGAATTGTTCCGTATAACCGGAAGCGGCCGCTACTTGAAATTATTTTAGTTAAAATTATCATCGCAGATCACCCCTAATTTTTAAATCTCTTACACGTTTAGTTTCCTTAAAACGTTTAATACATCACTCAGTTTGAAGAACCCTGTATATATGGTGCATTTATATTTAGGTACCCTATACATATAGTCTGTTATACTGTTTAGTCTATCCTTTCCTCCCATTCGAATTTCCCTTTTTTTTGTCTCATTTCCTGTTATTCCACATCTCATAAAGATATGTTCGAATGTCTCAGGCTCCAATTTACATAACCTGCATATTTTTATCTCTTCTTCCAGTACCTTACCGTCCAATTCTCACTTCCCAATCTAAATCTTGCTGTTAAAACTAATTACTTTTCTCTTTGCTCTTTCGTCTTTAAAATAAGGTGATTCTTGCTCCCCTCCTTTCTATATTTTCTTAGTTCCTACGTGAATGTTAGGTTTCTCATTTTTTCTTTTTTTTTTTTGCTTATCAATGCTTTTAGTTAAACCATGCAGCTCTTTCTATACACTTCCATCTCTTTCGAGTCTCCATCTGTGATACTTAATTGTTCATCCTCTTTCTATTAAAATTTTTTTCTTTCCTTTTCCGGCTTTCGTTTGTGATTTTCTTTCCTGCGGCTTGATTATTCAATGTATTGTCATTTGCTTTTATACATTCTCTTAATATCATTTTGTCTTCTGAATTTAATACTTTTTCTTCATGCTTTAAAGTTCCTTTCGAATATTTTATGGTCAATTTTTCTGTTTTCATTTCTTTTTATAGAAGGTATTTCAGTGTATTTCTATCTAAATTTAAAATCCATCTTATATATGTATCCTGAGCACTTTCGATTTCTTTTCATTCTTTCCACTCCCATATTTCCGCTCCGTATAATAATAAACTGTCTGCCAATGTCTCGAATAGGAACATTCTTTTCTTCCAACTTCTTTGAGATTCCTTTCTCCTATTCTCCGTACCTTTGCCATTACCTGTCATAGTACCTTCCTCAGTTTTCTTATGTATCCATTTACCCTATTATTTCTTGCAGTACGAATCTTAGGTAGTTGAACTCTGTAACTTCTTGGATTATTCTTGTTAGTTTCTATTTCTAGTTTTTCTAAAGTTTTTCATACCATGTCTTTTTTGATGCCCCTTTCATATCCGCAAAAAAGAGGAATACTTCACCTTTTTCATTCTTTATTTCTTCTTCACACGGTGTTTTGTGTAATTTTCGTGGTTTGCGTCAATAGTTCCTTTGTTTCTTCTGAATTCCATCTTCGTTTTTCCAAGTACCTTATTGTTGTCTAGTTCTTTCTCGTGTCTTTAAGTGTATTTAAGTGTAGATTTTATAACTTGTGATCATGAGTGTAATTCCTCTGTAACTTTCGGCTTTTTTTTGTTTCCGTTCTTGTAAATTTACTTTATTACTCCTCTTATCCATTCTTCCGGAAATTTTTCTTCTCCATTCCATATTCGATTTAATGCTTTTGTCAGTCCCTATTTATTTCCTGTTCCGCATACATTCAGGCCTCATTTACAATTTCATTTTCTCCTGTCGTCTTTTTCTTTTTTAGATTTTTTATTGTTTATTCTACTTCTTCTAATGTTATTTTCTTACCCTCGTTTTTTCCTTTCTTAGTCTCTTTATTCGTCTTTCTTTTTCATTGTTCCCCCAATTATTTGGCAGTGCTCAATCCATTCCTCCATATTTATATTTTTACATGTGCCTTCGTTTTTCATTCTTTGTCCATTTGTAATTTTTTCCGTTGTATCCTTTCTTGCTTCTGTCGGATCATTTCCAATCAATCGTCTATTTTTTTGTAATTTTTCTTACATTCACAGTAGGTATTCTGTTGTTATTTTTTCTTTTTTGTGAGTATTCTTATTTTTTTTCTACATACTAATGAATTTTTCTTATTTCTCTTTTTCCTTTTGTAATTTAAAATGTCTACTTCAGAGTAGCTTTCTCTTATAACTATTTCATCTTTTTCTTTTTTTGTCATTGACTTCCCTTGTCTCCATTATAAATTCAACCATCATATTTTTATTTTATGACCTGACTCGTTGTGATCTACCACCTCCATTCTTTCTATAACTTCTTCAGTTTTTCTGTAAGTGAATACTAATATATTACTGATCTTCCTGTTCATCCTATATACGTGAATTCCTCTTCTTCATCTCCTTTTACACTTCTGTTCAAAATAAGCATTCCATTATCAGAAAACCAATTCAGTAGCGTTTCCTCTCTTCGTTTACCAGTTTATCTTTTAATTATTTCTCTTTCTTTTCCACCCTTATTTGCAGTTCTTGAGTTAGAATCTCCTTCCATTATTATGTACGCTTCCTTGGTACTTGATATCTTCCAGTTTTTTCTACTTTTTCATAAGTATTGNTGCTTCACTAAAAATGCTATAATTCACAAACTAATGATCCGACAGCCGTCAAATTTATAGACGCGTCTTTTGAAGGTTAGGACTAACTGAAAATCATATGGATTTAGTTCTGGTGCCGCCATCTATGTGTCAGGCCGGGGACTTTTCAATTGACCCTAGTACGTGAATTCCTCTTCTTCATCTCCTTTTACACTTCTGTTCAAAATAAGCATTCCATTATCAGAAAACCAATTCAGTAGCGTTTCCTCTCTTCGTTTACCAGTTTATCTTTTAATTATTTCTCTTTCTTTTCCACCCTTATTTGCAGTTCTTGAGTTAGAATCTCCTTCCATTATTATGTACGCTTCCTTGGTACTTGATATCTTCCAGTTTTTTCTACTTTTTCATAAGTATTGCTCCGCTTATCTCTCATATACACACTTGTGATTGTTATCTACCCTTTATCTGCCTTTATTTCCGATTTAAATAATTCTTCGCGTAACATTTGTGTTTAGCGTTTTTTACATTTAGAGATTTTCTGATTGAGGTGACTAATATTCCTTTTAACCTTCCCCTTTTTCCTTCTCTTCTTGCTTCAACAAGTAAAAAGTTATGGACAATTTTTTTACACCACTTGTATATTCATTTGTATTTCTGCAGTTTTCTGTCTTCCCGTTTTCCTTTTATAGAAATTTGTCTTACAGATTAGGTTTTATGTTTTTAGTCGTATGATGTCGCTACTTGTATTGTATTGATTTCTTTTATCGATTTATTTTGCTTAATAATTGTTTTCCGTCTTATCTTCTTTTTCACTTCTCCGTTTTGACTTCACTTGAGGCTCTTCTGTAGCTTTATTTCTGTTTTTCGTTCAGTCTTCCAATAAATTCTTTTTCTTTTTCTGTTCAAATCTATTTTTCCGAGCTGTACTATTGACATGTCATTCAGTCTTTCTGTTACCCATTTTTCCCCAATTTAGAAGTACAGATCATTTAGTTCTACAATTTACACTCCCATTTCAGTAAAGCTTCCAATTTCTTAGAGCCACTGTTACTTTTTAGCCTCATTCAGCCGTGGTATCTAGAGCAGCGTTACTTTTGGAATGTGCTTACTTCGTACATAACTGTAATAAAGGTTTATGGCCCACTTGGATGAAACTAACGTTTCCGATATATCGACCATCAGGACCATTACATGCAAGAGGTCCAAATTCCGGTTTACGAAGGTCACATCTCCTACAAAGAATGGCAGGAAAAATGTTTCAGCAATGGGCAGAGGTATAAAATGTTCTCTAAAATAATACAATGTGAAACTACATTCATTATCCAGATTAGTACCTACGTAAAAGCAGCAATACCGTTGAAAATAATATTTTTCCGTCAATTTTTCGTTAAACATACCTTTGAAAATCGATAAATTCTTCTGCCGTTCAGGATGGTTTTCCTGTAGCATGAAGTCTCGATACTATAGGGACTTGTATAGGAACTTGAGGCTATGTTTAGCCTGCGTACAACGGACGGCTCCTTTCAGCCACTTGATCAGTGTGTTTAGTCTTCTTACTTATTAAGACATCTGTTGCAGGATTTGCTAAATTTACACAAATACTATATCCTGATGGATATCTATTCTTATTTGCCACCAACAATAAACTTACAGACACTTCGTGTATCGCCACCGTCTTTAGTATGTTCAAATAATGTTTTCAAAATTAATCGTAAATGGGGGTTTATAATAATTGATAATTATTGATTTTTTTTAGTATGGCGGATAAAATGCTTGGATTAATTCAAGCAAACTTGTATAATTTGCCTAAAATGCTCTTTGACTATTTATCAATAAATATACATGCAAACACTGAACACTCTTTATGAACTGCAGCGGCCTCTACTACAAAACACGCTTTGTCTAGCGTCATACAGGAGTAGTAGCCTCAAAAATTATTTTTGGAAGTATAAAAAAACTATATTTACAAAGTCATTGATTCCAAAACCAGTAATAAAAAAGTTTCATGTTTCATGACAAACACCATTATCAAAAATACTTAGTCACGAATTCTTGATAATAGCTTTTGATTGAAGTAATAGTCGAGTGTCTTTTGAAAATGAAAAACTCCAAACTTACTCAAGCATTTTATACGGGGTGTTCCAAGCAAGCAGGTTTAAATGCTTTACAGTTGAAGATTTTGAAAAAAAAAATAATTATTCCAGTTCGAAATAATTTGAAAAGAACATGTTTGAATTAATAGTGTAAATAGTAGGCCATTTCTTCCATAAGCTATGTGTGAAAATAACACACCTCTGTGTGCTTTCGTTTCGGAGATATTCGAAATGGCGCACAGCACATTTAATTCTACTATATATATGAACAATAGAATATATTGTTTTTAGCTACTAGGAACACGTCTGGAGGAAATGATTAAAGAAGACAAACAACGTGAAAACTATATTCAATCTCTGGTTTCGGATGAAAGTAAACAAAAAGAAATGCTAATTCAAGACGAAGAAGAGGACTTTTTGGATGAAGGTTTTTATCAAAAGTCTTGTAATAGGTCGAAGCCGGATAAGATGAACAAATTGATACCTGAAAGGATATTTTTGTATTTTTTTCTTCGACTAAACTCTGCATCATCGTCCATAAAATTATCATTATCCATCTATTTCAACATGAAGAAGCTTTCAGATTAAAGTTTAAAAATAGATATATGCTGTATTGCAAGAATCAACCGTTGACCCAGCAGTATAGACACTCGACTTATGCTCTGCTGGGTTTATTTTACGGATGATGTGGTATTTCTTCTCATTGTTGTTTTTTATTTTTACTAATTTCCTTTTGACGTTCTTGTTTGGAATTGCGGTAAGGAAGCCAACACTCACTTTGCATAAACAATCAAGCAAGTACAGTAATATCCTATTAGTTGTAACCCAAACTAAATTATATCAACAATCAACGTCTTTTGAGTAACGCGGATAAACCTGGACTAATCAGGCGACCAATCATGTAGCGTTTCTTCAAACTATTTATACCTATTGAATACATTCAGGTATACATATATATGTAATGGTGTATTGCATATTATGGCTGTGCCATGGCTTTAGACTGTAAATTTGCAGTACACCTCAACGTCATAGTGTACTTATGCGAAAAGTCGGTGTACTTATAAGTGTAATCAGACACCAACAGAATATTAAATGTAATAGTTGGAAATTCAGAGTTGTTTTAAAGGTTAAAATACTGGTATGTGAGGGAAAAAAAAGTAGGGAAAGAACTAATATAAAGATAGAAGGCAAAAATTAGAAGAAGTGGCTAATTTTAGTTATCT